TGATTTATTCTGTTTCTCAAGGGCTTTTACCTCTTCATTCAAATGTCCATCATCTAGCTACTTAATTAGAAACAACCGGGACTTATTCTGCCTGATTTAAGAGAGAAAGACATTTATTTAAGATGGGCGCTGCTTGGTGCCTTGCATCTGGAAACAACCCCCAAAGCCCTAGAGCACAGGCGGCTGTGGGGTGCCTCCGCCTCGGCAGCCCACCACACTCTAGCATGTGCACATTAGGACCTGGGTACCACAGACTTGTCAGCGCTGCCATTCACCCGCACCAGCAAAGGCTTGACTTTCCCAGGCACGGGGAGATAATCCCTCCAGGCAGCAAGGTGGTCCAAACCCCGGCAGAAGGAAAGACGCTGTGGTGGCAGTGGTGGTGGCTACTCGCTGAGCCTTAATGGAAGACGGAAACACACGGATCCAGATGTAATCATTGTAGGACCACAACTGTCATTTGCTTGAAATGTCAATAAGCCAAGGCATGTATACCACATATACTTTAGTATCTCATGAGTTCTTTAGAGTAGTTTTTGCTTCATTCTTCATCTCTTCCCAGTTGTCTAATGTGGGCAACAAGGCACTGTAGAAGATTCCAGGCCTCGGGGGCAAGCTGACTTTGGATTTAGTAATGGCCAGGAGCCTTAGCAATAATGCTTATGGGTGGGAATGTTATTTAACTTCTCTAAGTCTGTAAAATAGACACAGTACGCTCTGTACTCTGAAGTGTTATAACAATAAATCTAACTCACATAGGTGGTTAAGATACAAAAATAGACCTGACTGTGTGGACAAAGCCTGTTTACTGTGTTAATAACTGATTATCTACCATATGGCACCTGGAACAAATGTATGGGCAAACATGGACAATATAGTTCATAATGACTTAGCAACAGGCACTGGTAATGACATTAAAAAACAAAAAACAAAAAAAAAAAAACCAACCCAAGACATCCATTATCTGTTGTAGCACTCTGTCCTTCAAGCCTAACAGACACTGACCTCACCTGGGCAGCCATGACTCCTAACAAAAGGCCCTTGAGATCAGGATTCCCTCATAGAAAGAGGAGGTGAAGAGGGTCACTGGATCCTCACCTGAGATTCCTTCATTCCCTCCTGAATCTTCAAACAGGATGCATTAATGTTTGTATATGTTGTGTGCTAGATGATTTTTATTTTCAACTTGATGCCTCCTAGGAATAGGGAATCTCAACTGAGGAACTGCCCAGACTGTTGGCCTGTTGCCATGTATTTGAGAGATTGTATTGCTTAATGAAGGATGTGGGAAGGCCAAGCCCACTGTGGGCAGCACCAGCCATGGTGTTGTGGGCCTATGATCAAGCCGAAGAGCTGGAAGCAAGCAGTGCTCTCCCACGGTTCCTGTCTTGAGTCTCTGCCATGGCTTCCCTCAATAATGCAACTTGGAGATGTAAGCCAAATGAACTCCCAAGTTGCTTTTGGTCATGGTGTTAGTCAGAGCAACAGGAGGAAACTAGAACACATGTAATTCTGCCCCAATTGCAGAGTCCTGTGATCTCAGGAGACACTAGGGTATATAGATTATAGAAAGTCAACTGAAGGGTTATATGCGGACTATAAAACAATGAGGAAGTTGCCATTCATGCTTGGGTGTGGCTGATTTGAGGTCACCTTTTCATATAGGTTCTGGGAATGGCATTCAGGTCTTCGTGTTCATGGAAGAAAGCATTCTACTGACCGAAGCATCTCCAATAGAAACCTTCCACCCATGCTCTGTAAGTAAGTCCTGTACACTCATCTATTTCCCAAGCTGGACTTGGTGAGATGATACTTTGGTTTGTTGCTGGTGCTCTGTAAGGAGGGGGTAGAGGTTCGATTGAACTCATGAAATACACCCATTGTTTTTGTGTGATGAAAATACTAGAAAGACCACTCTCTTCTATAGTGAGCATTTTGGTTTCTTAAAAAAATGGAAATATTATGGGAATATGATTTTATTTTAATTCTAGGTTTGGTATATGGGGCTGATTTGGACTGTCTGCAGAAAGCTGACTATGATTTGCTTTGTGCTCTAGCAGAGATGTGATTTTGCCAGCTGCAGATAGTTTCTGCAATTTTATGTCATTTGGAATTCTGGAGACTCTTCAGAGGGTATATAAATACTATGGCCCCAAGGTTGTTGCTGTTGGTGGGTGATTGGTTGTCAGTGAGCTGCTGTCGATTGCTGTAGGTTGCTGTTTGTCAAGTAGTGTGTGCAAAGAGACAAGAAGAAGAAATTAGATATCCTGACAATGGAAATAAAACTTTCCCCAAGGAACTCAACATCCTTAATCAGCAGGAAGTAGTATAATAATATCATTGTCTCCTTTTCTACCCCTGACTTTATTGAGGGGTTTCTTTCTCTCTGCCCTCTATCCTTCTTTCTCTCTGATCTAGTGTTATGGAGTTGAAAAGATGGAAGAAGAGGTATGGAGATGGGTGAAAGAAAGAAGAACCCACAAAGTGTCTGACATCCAGCTGCACCCCTCACCAGAGCACATGCACTTGACCATCAGCTGGAAGGCCTTCACCATGGGAATCCTAAATTTCTTTCTAGTTTTGAGAGAGAGAGACAGAGAGAGCGAGAGAGAGTAGACTCTCCCTCTAGGACACACAGCTATGAAATAGAGAGGGACAATCCCCATTCTAGTCATCACCTTCTTCTCTGCAAGAAAGAGTCTTTTTGTAATTATTTAGATAATATGTTACAGTCTCCCTGTGTGTTCATGGTCCTGTGGAGGTCAGAGGTCAACCTTAGGCATCATTTCACAGATGCCCACCTTGTTTATTGAGACACAATCTCTCACGTTTACCTAGAACTCTCCAATTTGGCTAAGCTGGCTGGCCAGCAAGCTCCAGGGATCCGCCTGTCTCTCCCTCCCCATCACTGGGATTACAAGCATGCTCCACAAAGCCTGGTTCTTTACATTTTGGTTCTAGCAATGGAATTCAGGTTTCCATGCTCATGCAAGCAAGCACTCTACTGAATGAGGCGTCTCCCCAGCTCCAGTAAATTATTGCTTCTACTCCGCAGGAAGAACAACTGAAGTAATATTAATTTCTCCCAAAGAATGTGCAATATATCTGTGTAAATATTCAGGATAGGTAAGACAGAAAATATGCATATGTGTACACATGAATTTACATACTTTATGTATATCATACTTTATTTATTTCTATACACATGTTCTTTGGGTTAAAGAATCTGAAGTAACTGTACAGAAATATCCTCTATGGAGTTTAACTGATTAATGTCTTTCAGACAACCAGCTTGCTACAGCTAGGAACCATCCGTGGGAACTTAGTTTTCAAATGAATCTCTTATGATTAGAATCTGTATCCAGCACAGAAAATCCTGGCCACCAGATGTCACCATTTTTCTTGAGACTTTTTTTTCCCCCCTCTAAGGGTGTGAGGGGAAGAATGCCTCAGAAAACTTCCAGGGTTTCCAGGAGATGAAGTTCTTAGGGTATCATTCTGTCCACCCAGATTTCCTTTACATCCTTGGACACCACCTGGACTGTTCCTGACAGCCACCTGGAAGCTCTTCTGATCCAAAAGTCACCCAGCCTCTTCTGGCTCTTGAGGGAAGGGCTGGTTTCATTTGTCTGTCTTCTCAGGGTGCTCCCAGCAAGCAGCTACACCACGGGTGTGCTCTATGAAGTCCCTGGAGCCAGGAGCCCTTACTCACTGGCTGTGCGGCCCAGAGGGCTGCTTTACAAAATACAGAAGAGGAACTAAATTGTTTCTAGAGCTAAAAAAAATTCCAAAATTCCATACTCAACGGGGTTTTAATCGATTCTGCTGGGGGCGGGGCTGGAAGGCAAGTTAGGGTGAATTTAGCCCGAGAATAAAGACGCCAGCAAGGCTGTGGAGCAGGGTTGAAATCCTGCAGGATAAACCCTAACACTGTAATTGGATATAGTGCTGGCTCACGGCAGTAGGACTTCCTGTCGTTTACACACCCTGTAATCCACCAGTCCACGCTCGCTCCATTCCAGATAACACTTAACCAGGATCTATAATGCTCTATGATGTGAATGCACCGCCAGCTCCCTGGAGGGTGGGCTGATTTAATATTTCATGCTAGTCAGTGTTTCATTGTGGTGCCCTCAGGGCAGGGGATGTGTTTTATTTCTTTTTGAATTTACAACAGCACCGCGTTAAGCTGTCCAGGATGCTCATAAAGCGCAGCCAGGGCAGAGAAAAGAAGCGCGTGAGGAAAACTGTGCGCCTACTGTGTACCAGACACCGCCACGCCCTTTACAAACATCCCGTCCCGTCTTCAGAACAACATCAGGGAGCAGCCGTCCTCGCTCTTATCAATAGAGCAGCTGAGCGGAGCGGGAGAAATGGCTTGCCAGGGTCACAAACGCCAAAGCTATGGTGGCTGATGCTTACAATCCCTGGACTCACGTGGAGGCAAGAGGATCCAGAGTTCGAGGTTATCCCTGGCTAGAAAGCAAGTTTGAAGCCGGTCTGGGCTAGGTAAGACCGCCCACGCCTCAAAAACAAACAAACAAACAAACAAATCACAAAATAAATAAATACAAAGCTACTCAGATTAAAAAAAAAAAAAAGAAAGAAAAAGACAAGGGACATAAATCCCCTCTGCTTCTGCCAATCGATTTTACAAAGTCTAAAATGGAGCTCAGGGCGTTTGTTAAAGTTGCCAGGACCCCTAAATAGTTGAGTCCGCCATCTCCTCCCCACTGGGAAGCCCATCACTCTGGAGGATGCGCGGCCTGTAACAGTCACCGCACCCTGCCCTGACCTTGCTGCGGTATTATTTATGACCCCAACTCCCCTAGCGTAGCTCGGCGCCTGTTTCTCCTGGGGCTGCAGAACAGAGCAGGTTTCAGGCTTCCTGAACAGGGCCTAGAGTTTGCAGACGGTCCCCGGGAAGCTGGGGCGTTCCGAATTGGCTGAGCGCTCAGCGGGGTGGGCGGGGAATTCGCAGAACGTCGCTGGCCCGGAATCTCTCTGCCGGGGAGCGCAGCGCGAGCCCAGGAGCCTGGTGAAGTTGGGGAGACCGAGTCGGGAAGGGTGGTGGAAACCTCCAGCCGATCTCCCACCTACTCGGCCCTGACCGTTTGGACCCGGGGAGAACGTCCCTGCTTGCGTCCAGGGGCGGACGGTGGACGCGCTGCGCACGGCCCCTCTAGGGCTGGTAGTTTTCCGACCGTCCCTGCCGAGGCCCGCTCGCCCGGCAGCCCTGCGGCTCCCGCGGCGGCGGCGGCCCCCGGCTCCCTCCAGCCAGGTAGCCGCGCCTCGGTCTCTGGGGGCGCTGTGACCCCGCTCCGTGCTGATCCCGGGACCCCCGTTCCCCGGGCACGGGAGCTGGAGAGTGAGCCCGCCTGCTGCCGATGGTGCTTCTGCCGCTTCCCTGATAGCAGGTACGAGCCGCTGCAGCGCCGGGCGATCGATTCCGAGCTCGCCCCCCGCCCCCCCCAGGAGATGCACGCGCGGGGCTCGCGGGGGACTCCGGGGGGCTGGAGCAGCCCCCTGCCGGCCCAGCGCTGACGCCGCGGCTGCGTGGGTGTTCTGGCCGTGTCTGATCTGGGACGGGGGAGGGTTTGAACCCGAGAGTACAACTGAGGGACGCGCGTGGAGGGTCCACCACCTGCTCGGGGCCGTCCCCGCTCTTGGGACCCCGAAGACCCTCTCTAGCCTCTGGGGCCCTTGGGCTCCCAGGGAACTGTCCAGAGGGGGCTCGGGTGGCGTGGGCTGCCGGCGAGAAGCTGAGATTGGCATTTTGAACGCTGAGACCGCGGTGAAGCCAGAAACCAGGATGCCAGCGTGGGCCGGGCTAGGGTCCTGGGGATCCGGGAGCTCGGAGTGGGATGTGCCTTGAGCCAGTTGGTAGGGAGAAAGGAGTGGGGCCCGGGCCCCTGGGGAGAAGGGTAGGACGGTCCGAAGCTCCGGGCTGAGCGCCCAGGAAGACCCTTCGGACCCCAGACAGCCGTGGGGACCGCCAGCCCGACAGCGATCCAGCCGGCGAGCACCGCGGCTGGGGGATGGCAGAGGCTGCGGGATGCATGGGCCGACACCCGCGTACACACTCTCCTAGAGCATGCTCAGTGCGGTCCTGGGAACTTCCTGCCGAGTCGCCAGGCCAGCCTCCTCGGTCCCCTTTGGGGCCGCAGTTCGCTAAATTGGGGGTAGGGGGTATGCGAGTGGGGCCTCTGTGCCCTTCTCGTCCGCCCTTTCGCGTTCGCGGGCCTGTGACAGGCACCGGGGTTCTGCTTTCCAGAGCCACTGTGGCCTCTGGAGACGGGGGCGTGGATGTCATCCCCTGGCCTCCCGCGCTCGGAGGACCCGAGGCCTGGTGACGCGTTGGTCTGCCGGGTGGACCCGCTCTCAGGGCCCCGCCAGGCTCTCAGTCGCGCGCATTGACTCTGCGGGAGCAGGTTGGGTGGAAGGGGGTGTGTGAGCCGGCAGCGTTCGCGCGCTCACTGTCGATGTCACACACAAAGCCAACGCGGGGAAGAGGGAAGGGGTGGCGCTTCAATTTTTTTTTTCCCCCAGTGGCTTTTGGAGCTCCCTGAGCTGCGTGTGTGTGTGTGTGTGTGTGTGTGTGTGTGTGAGAGAGAGAGAGAGAGAGACCCAGAGGATGCCTTCTGTTTGGCCCTAGAGCTCAGTAATTCCTGGCCTAATTGCCAGGCCTTGGCTTGGTGTTTGAATATGGTCCTCGGTGCCTCTGGGGCTGTGAAGTTGGAAAGAGCAAACGAGGTTTGTGTGGGGTTTCCGGTGGGATGGCAGAGCCACATCTGTCACCACGTTTGGATGTAAGGTTAGATCAAATTAGAATCCACTGAGTTCTGAGTGGAAAGCAGGTTCGTTAACTGACCCAGCCCAGCCTTGTTTTTAAGACTGGAGGGATATCTACCCTGGACTTGTGGGAGACCCTTTGTCCCTGGAACGGGAGCTCTCTTGTCTCGGCCAAGAAAGTCAAACCATCTCTTACCTGTCTTTTATGAATTTTCCCACCCTCCCTAAGTTCCTCTAACTCATTTTGTCGCTATTGCTCAAAGCTGAGATGGGCAGGCTTAATCTGATTCTGTTAGGATCAGAACAAAGCTTCCCCCCACCCCCCAGAGGACATTTTAGTTTTTCTTTTGCTATCAACTTAATGTCCGTGTGATAAACTTACTTGATGCAGGGCCCTGGAAACAGGGAAGAGGGCAGAATGTGCCCAGATTGACCTAGGTACCCTTTTTAGGGACAGAGAAAAGGAGGAAGTCTCAGTCCCCAGTAACTGTCTGTGGCCCTGTTGAACGTCTGGGCAAAAGGCTTGAGTAATTTCCTTCTGGTGTCCATCTCCTTCCAGCCTGCTTTACTAGTTTGGGACATTTGAGACTACAGTCAGTGCAATGAAGGAGTCTACAGAGCTATCCGAATGGCCGCCGTGTGTGTGTGTGTGTGTGTGTGTGTGTGTGTGTGTGTGTGTCCTTGCATGTAGGGGCTTGAGCCCAGAGACCAACCTCAGCTGTCATTCCTTTCCTCAGGATTTGTCCACCGTGTGTATGTCTGTGTGTGTCTGTGTGTGTGTGTGTGTGTGTTTGTGTGTTTGTGTGTGTGTGTTTCTTTTTTTGACGGAGTCTCTCACGGGGCCCATCTTTCTCCTCCTCCACAGCACTGAGATTATAACTCTCTGTCACTGTGCCTTTTTTTTTTGTAATTTAAAATCTGTGTGAATGTGTGTGAGTGTGGTGTGTGTGTGTGTGTGTGTGTGTGTGTGTGTGCAGCCTCAAGCATCAGTCTGCACCTTCAACCTTGTCTGCAACAGGCTCTTGTTTTCTGGGCCAGCGGAGACCTAGCTGAGCTCTGAGTCTCCTGTCTCTGTCTGTCATCTTCCCACAAGAGTGCTAGGGTTATAGACACACATGGTGTCCTGCTGTGTGTGGGTGATGGAGACCAAACTCGGGTCTTCATTCTTGTGCTGCAGGTGTGTTAACACTGAACCTGTACCTTCATGGCTTCTTAAAAAATGTGTGTTCCAGAGGTCAAACTCAGGGCCCTATGCGAGCCGTCTTCCCAGTTCCCGAACCAGCCGGCTTTAAGGAAAGTGAGGTGGCCGGAGCTTGGTCCCGCCTGTGTGAACTCCAGTGGCTGTCCCCGCTGCGCTCTCTGGGCCTTTGGCTCTCCTCCCGAGCAGCATGCACATTTCCAGTGCTCTGTGTGTGGAAGCGTGAACACTGTGCTCATTACACATTCACACGTCTGAACACATTTTTCTAAGGAACGTGCATATGGATGTGCATCCGCAGTGTTCTTGGGGAGAAGCTGGAAGGGACCCCGAGAGATGACAGCGATTCAGATCTCCTCCCTTCCCAGGCAGTTTCCTCAGTTTCAGAAGAACCCAGCAGCTCAGCTTGCCTCCTAAGCGTGGAAATGCCAGTCCTGCTGTCACAGCTGAGGGGTTTGTCCCAGGAGAGCAGCTAGTCACCGTTTCCTGCTGTCATTCTGCCGTGTGTGTGTGTGTGTGTGTGTGTGTGTGTCTGTGTGTCTGTGTGTGTGTGTGTCTGTGTGTCTGTGTGTGTGTCTCTCAGATGCACACACAGGCACAGAGGTTTATGTAGAGGTCTGGAGACAATCTGAGGCACCACTCACTTTCTATTTTATGGATCTCTTACCAGCCTGGAACTCACTAAGTCATCTAGGCTGGCCAGCCAGCACGCCACAGGATCTACCCAACTCTTTCTCCCTGGCGCTGGGATTATAGGTGCACTCTCTTTTAACCTGTGTCCTGGATGCCAAATGCAGGTGCTTGCATGGAAAATGCTTTATGTCTGGAGGTCTGTGACACTTCAGGTCACATTTGGGGGGGAGGATAGGTGGTGACTCAGAAATGACAGTAAAGTCACAGGGGCATTCACCAGGAAGGACCAGTGTTGGGGGCCTGGTACCCTCTGTCGCGACCCAGCATCCTCTCAGGCCACCTGAGAGACTCGCAGAGCCCTGGGTCTGGCTTACTTCTTCCAGTTTGTTCTGGGTGGTGGTGCGTGGCTGGTCGTCAGAGCGATAGCCCTGGTCAGTGATTTTTGTGATGGCCCAGAAAGCCGGTGCTGCTGGCATTGTCTCGGGGGGCTGCTGTGGTGACTGCAAAAGGGGAGGGGATTCCTGGTGAACAGAGCAGTGAGCAGCTTTGATGGGAGAAGTGTATGAATTTCAGAATCCAGATATTAGAAGAGGGAAGGACCAATTTTATAGCAGGAGTGGAGTTAGCCTTATGGGTGACAGCTCAGGAGTTTGAGTGGGAAGCAAATGTTTGGAACTTGCCAGTGCAGGTTTTACCAGACTACTGCCTTTAAAGTTAATGACGGCTTTGAAGTACAGTCACTCTTAATAGCCAGAAGAGATTGCTGTAGTTTAAATTTTCTATTTTGAATTGAATAGAGAGCTGCCCATTCTTTGAAGTTTTGCATAGTTTTGATTTTTGCCCTCCTCCAGGATCTCATGTAGCCCAGGCTGGCCTGAAGCTCACTGAAGCTCAGCTGAGCTTCTGATTTTCCTGCCTCCGTCTCCCAAGTAATGGAATTATAGGCATGGTTTACACTGCATTAGGGTTATAAATTGCCTAGTCTAGATTATATCCCTACACTTTTTTTTTTTGTTTTGTTTTGTTTTTGAGACAAGGTTTCTCTGTGTAGCCTTGGCTATCCTGGAACTCCCTCTTGTAGACCAGGGTGGCCTCAAACTCACAGAGATCCATCTGCCTCTGCCTCCCTGAGTGCTGGGATTAAAGGCGTGCACCACCACTGCCTGGCATTCTCTATACTGTTTAACAACCTGTGTTCTCTCTCTCCCCCTCTCCTCTCTCACTCTCCGTCTCTCTCTCTGTCTCTCTCTGTATGTGTGTGTCCTTGTAGAAGCCAGGGGTTGATGTTGTCCGCCAGGTGTCTTCCTCAGAGACAGAAGCTCTTACTGAACCTAGAGCTCACTGACTGAGCTAAGCTGATTTACTTGTAATTCAAGGGAGCTACTTTACCTGTAAGTTACACGCCTGTAGGTGTGTGCCACTGGGCCTGGTCTTTCAAGTAGGTGCTGGGGATCTGAACTCATGTTCTTACCCTTGTGCCATAGGCACTTGACTGAGTCATCTCTCCAGTCCTAGCATTTAGCCAGCATCTACTGTGAGCTGTGCAGAGCTGATGCTGGGGATGAAGATGCTCTTCCTCTAAATGACCTCCTCACAGGTAATGCAGCTGACCTCGAAGTGTGCTGGTGCAGACCAGTATTTCTTGGAAAGCTGCCAAGACAAGGTCCCAGGAGCCTTGGTATTATGACCACGTAGTCAGTTAGGAGAGTGAGGACTTGTGCTGTGTGTTTGGCCATTTGAGCTGTTTTCTTTTTCTTTTTGTCACTTTCACAGTTAAATTTCTCCTTTCCTGAC